GCATTTATGTGTCTGACCCATGGGAAGAGAGAAGCTGCAAGATAAAGACTGGGGAGGGAAGAGGACACGCCCTCTGCCTTAGGAGCCAGAGACCTTGATGCTCGGCGTGGAAAACCCCGCAGCCCTGAATAACAAATACAAGGCAAGGAAGTCAGACTGGTCAAACACAGTTATAAAGACAGTCAAGGGGCTGGAGACCGGGCTCCGAGCCTAGTACCCAAGAAGCTCCTGCCTAGTACCCAGGAAGCCATGGGTTTGATCTTTGTTCCTGCTAGTACCCAGGAAGCCATGGGTTTGATCTTTGTTCCTGTTTACAGTTCTGCTGCGGTGGTGCAGGCACTGGGTAGGCAGGGCATCAGGAGCTCAGACTCATCCCTGGCTGCAAAGCAAACTGGAGGCTACCCTGTGTATTCCAGACCCTGGGTGAGTGGGAGATAGATGATAGATACATAGATAGACAGATACATAGATATATAGATAGGTACACAGACACGTAGATAGATAGGAAGAAAGGAGACGACTCAGAGGTTCAGATCCTTGAAGAGGACCCTGATCCAGGGGGGATTCATCACTCTGTCCCCATGGGCACCTTGCAATCACATACACATCCTCCCACAGAGATACACATGCAAAATGTAATAAAAAAGAAATCAAATATATCTTTAATGGGCAATGTGAGGGCTGGAGAGATGGGAAACCTGACTTTGGAGTCCCCAGCAGCCATGAAAAAAGTCTAATGGCCCCCTGTGCTCCTATAACCCCCACACGGCAGCGGACAGAGACGGGAGGATGGCTGGGGATTACCCGGCACCCTAGCTCCAGGTTCAGTGGGACACCCCGTCTTCAGAATAAGTTGGTGATAGAGCAGGGATAATCCATGTCCTCTGGCCTCTGTGTCCACGTGCACACCAATGTATACACCCCACACGTGTGTGCACATACCACACGCATGCACACAGTCACAAAGAGAAAAAAGGAAAAGGCAGCCAGGAATGGCGGTGCAGACCTCTAATTCTAGCACCAAGGAAACCGAGGAAGGAGAAGTGAGAACTCTGGGCCAGCCTGAGCTACAGATTAATGCTGTCTGAAGAAACCAAGGGGCTGGGCATGTTAATTAAGTGAATAATTTAGCTAATTAAAAAAGGGTTCCCGGGCTGGAGAGATGGCTCAGGGGTTAAGAGCACTGCCCGTTCTTCCAGAGGTCCTGAGTTCAATTCCCAGCAACTACATGGTGGCTCACAACCATCTGTAATGTAGTCTGGGGCCCTCTTCTGGACTGTAGGGATACATGCAGGCAGAACACTGTATGCATAATAAATAAATAAATCTTATAGGCATAAATAAATAAATAAATCTTATTTTTAAAAAAGGGGGGTTTCCGGGGCTGGAGAGATGGCTCAGAGGTTAAGAGCACCAACTGCTCTTCCGGAGGTCCTGAGTTCAATTCCCAGCAACCACATGGTGGCCCACACCCATCCGTTATGAGATCTGGTGCCCTCTTCTGATGTGCAAATATACATGGAAGCAGAATGTTGTCTACATAATAAATAAATAAAATCTTTTAAAAAAAAGGGTTCCCACCCTCGCGCTGAAATTGTTGAACTGGACAGATGTGTTCTTGTAACACTTCCTAAGTTTCTGCAAGGCTCTGTATCAGAGGTGGGGGAGGGCAACTGAGCTTCCTCTTTCCTCACCCTGACCTCCACACTAAAGCGGAGGCCCCGAGGAGAAGGTGAGCACAGGGGCCTCCCACCGTCGCCCTATACCTCAAGAGCTGGAGATCTGTTTGTGTGTAGTTCTGGGTCTGGAACCCACAGCCTCAGGCGAGCTGCACTCCAGCCACACTAGGGAGCTTTCCTTCCTTCCTCCTCATCCTTCTGGTCCTCCTCCTCTTACTCCTCTTTCTCTTTCTCCTCCTTCTTCTCTTATAGTTTTCTGAGGAAGGATCTCAATTCATAGCTGCCCTTAAACTTACAGCTATC